TAGTGCATTTATTAGACAAAAAGCCGAACTGAGTTTGCGATAAAATATTATATTTAAGGAGAAAGGGCATAAGTCCATGTATTAAATACATAATTAAACTGTAAAAATAATTCCACATATCATAAAAAATGTTGTTAATTTCATATTTACAATTAAAAAAATTTAAATAAAGGAATTTGAGTAAATTCGTGTTTTATTTGCAAAATAACTGCTTGTTCCAACATATAGTTGTTAGGGCTCGTATTAAGAGAACAAGTAATCTTCAAGAGCAACGAGGATGCAGACAACGCCCTAGAGTGAAAACAAATTGATAATTTGACTTATCTGGGAACTAACATACATGACTGGGGAAAAGATGACTGTGAGCTGCATGCAAAATACAAAATGGAAACGTTAAGGCAGGAGTTATAAACAAACTAGTAACATAAAAAATGTGTCAGGTTGAAACATAATACATATACACAAAACAGTTTTGTGGTGAACAGTCCTCTATGTAAGCAAATCATAGGTGCTAAACGAAACACAAGAAGAAAACTAAATATATAAGAAAAGAAAATATTGTAAAGAATTTTTGGTGCTATCGAAGAAATGGAGGTATATAGAAAAAGAACCAATGCCGAAATCATAAGCCTTTTTAAAGAGGCAGCGATCTAAGAAATTGTAAAAGCATTAAGATTGAAATGGCGGAAACATTTAGAAAGAATTAAAGTAGAAAGAATACCAAAGCTATTAATAAATACAGTGACGGGTGGCAAAAGAATGGGTCGATCAAAAAAATATGGTAATATCACGCAGAACATACATTAAAGAGAAAGGTTTTAAAAATTGTAAAGCAAAAAATTGTAGGCCGTAAAAAATAAACAACTATTGTCAAGTTATGGGCCTAAAAGTCCTGCGTTAATATTATATAATAATGTACATAAAGGGATTTCTGCTGATCAACTTTAATTCTCCCTTTATCGCTGTAGTATTTATCAAATCAAAATGAATTTTTAGATGACCTAGTAGTAGTACAATTTGTGGATCCTCTGCTATAGTTAGTAAAGCAGTGATATCTGCAAATGTGTCTATTTTTGTCTAAATTATTTACAGAAGCGGTCCCAAAACACTTTCCTATGAAACACCGGCTTTTATTGGATAACGTGGAAAGTTTCATAATGTGCTTTGGTTTAATAATTACTTGTAGAGAATTTGTTAGCAGCTGTTTAGTCTTAAAGATAAATTTGGGATACCAAATCCAATCACACACATATCCAGGAATACAGTAGTCAGCTTTTCTTGTGCTCAGAGCTTGTGATTATTTCGATAATTATATCTGTTTGTTGTGTAGTGTAATAAAACCAGAAGTAAAATTAATGTTCTGGTATAATTTATACTAATTGACTGTCACTAATATTTCTAACAATCGTTTAAAAAATTTTCACATAAGTGTTCGTAAATTTATTGGCTTGTATGAGCTTAGTATAGCTCATAGGTATATTGTAAGAGTACCTTGTTCGCTTCATATAGACAGGACCGTATACAAGCAGTCTATACATCCCAGAAAACTTAAAAGGAATACAAAAGAAATCAAGACTTTCTTTAGTTTTTAATCTCATTGCACAATGATACCTGTCATATGTAAGTAAATAGCCATAGCTACCTTCCACACGATTATAATTTTTGTTAAGTTAATCATCCGACCCGCCCCCAAGAGCTCTTCGACATAGCCTTCAAAAGTCAATTAACACAACAGTTTCAAGTTATCATCCCGGAATTCACAAAATCTTTTTTTCAGTTATAAATGAAACTAACCAGTTGAGTATACAGTTTAGATTAACTTTACATTGTTTCATCAAAAAATCAAAAGGAATAAAGATAATATTTACCGCCCAACAAAAACTTTCATCTTTTATCCGATTAATCAAAGACAACCTGATAATCTGTCCTATTCCGAGGCAATAGTATTCGTTTCGTAGCAGTGTATTTTTCCGTGTATGGATCGCTGGTCCATAGCACAACCCCCAACCTGGAGGACCAGAATTTTCTGTCTGGGTTTATTCCCATAGCCGATATGTTCCAGTTTTAAGACGCCAGAAACTCGCCTTTCACCCTCTCTCGTCAACTACATAACGCACACCCATTGTGCGCCATGCACCCCGTGTTTTCGCGGCATATTGCCTTCGAGGACGTGAGAGTAGAATTTGTTGGCAGAGCTGAGTTCTATTCCTAGAACTTCCGACTTTTTCGTCAGAAAACAGTGGACGTTTCTCAGAGTTTTATTGCAGTGTGAGCATCGACAACTCGTAATGCCTCCGAGGTCCTTTACCAACCTTTAACCACGAAAAAAATTTACAGCTGAAAATAAAATAATCGAAAGATCGGCTGAATACTTAGAAAGTCTGCTACATGTCCAGGTAGACGCGGATGGAAATAAAGCAAATTGTGAGTACCAAACGGCCGAGATAGAAGTACCCCCGCCAAGCCTGGAAGAAATTATCACGGCCATAGAAACCCTAAAAAATGACAAATCCCCGGGACTAGACAATATTGATGCAGAACTGATTAAAAAAGGAGGGCATGAACTTAGAACTAAAATACACCAATTAATGAGAGAAGCCTGGGAACAAGAAATAATGCCAAAAGAATGGAGTGGCTGTATTATCGTGCCAATACATAAAAAAGGCAGAAAGGATACATGTGGCAACTACAGGGGAATCTCACTAATCGGTACTACATATATGATATTAGCTTCAGTTGTACTAAAACGATTACTGCCATATACAGAGGAAATTATTGGCGATTACCAATGCGGCTTTAGGCCTGGAAGATCAACAATCGACCAAATATTTACTATCAGACAAATGCTAGAAAAGTATTGGGAATATAATAAAGAAGTACACCAGATCTTCATAGATTTCAAACAAGCATATGATTCCATAGATCGCTTAAAACTGTGGAGTGCAATGATGGAGTTAGGCGTACCAAAGAAGCTGACCATGATTGCGCGAATGTGTGTCAACAATTCCTTTGCACAAATTAGAATAGGAGGCAAAACTTCAAAGGCTTTCGGCATAAGCACCGGGCTCAGACAGGGAGAACCGCTGTCTCCATTACCATTTAACCTAGCATTGGAATACGCAGTGCGAAAAATCTATACCAGAGTCAAACCAGACATAACTGCCAGAGGAGCAAAGATTATTCTCGCATTTGCAGATGATGTAGATGCAGTAGCACAGACAACATTGGAAGGTAAGGATATAGTATCGAACTTTGAAGAAGCAACACTAAGCGTAGGCCTGAAAATAAACGAAGAAAAAACTAAATACATGGTCGTATCAAAAAAGGAACGACAGCGAATAAGACAAAACATTACCATAAACGATCATAATTTTGAGGTGGTCAAAGAAATCAAATACCTAGGAGCAACAATTACCAGTGAAAACACAGGAGAACGGGAAGTTGAAATACGAATACTGGCGGGGAATAAATCATTCTTTGCCATTCAACATCTAATGAGGTCAAAGCTTCTCTCAAGGCGTGCCAAAATCCAAATGTACAAAACCATAATACGACCAGCAGTGACATAGGGAAGTGAAACATGGACATTGAGAAAGAAAGAAATCAATAAGCTATTGGTATGGGAACGCAAAATCCTGCGAATTATATATGGTCCTTGCAGGGACAGCGTGACAAATGAATGGAGGAGCAAATACAACAATGAAATAGAGACTCTCTTCGGGAAAGGAAACATCGTAAGATACATAAAAGCCAATAGATTAAGATGGGCAGGCCACGTGGTACGGAGTGATGACGACAGACTGATTAGCAATGTGTTTTGGGAAAGACCAGATGGTAAAAGATCGACAGGAAGGCCTAGAAAAAGGTGGAAAGACGCTGTCAGGGAAGACCTGGAGAAGATGGAAGTAAGGTCATGGGAAATAATAGCACAGGATCGGAATCAATGGAAGGCAATAGTAAACGCGGCAAAAACTCACGAAGAGTTGTAAAAGCCAATGATGATGATGATTTCACATGAACAACACGGAGTTTATGATAGTCCTTGTGCAGACTGCCCCCCCATCCTATATAGACCAAACAAATCGTAGAATCCAAAATAGGATTTATGCACATTTCATTTCTGTCCTCAATTCGACTCAATTTTAGATCTAGGGGCTCTTCAGGCCAACACCATCTTTATACAGATCATCAAATTGATTTTGAAAACTCCAGAACCATAGCTCCATCTGCTTCTATAAACCAATAATTCTCCAAGAAGCCATAGACATTGAAAAAAGGCCAAATTGCCTCAATAAAAGAGATGACGGCATACGGTTACCTTCGACTTTGAGACCTCTTATAAAGAAAATACCGTCCGCGTCACCCGTCAGTCAAAATCCTGCTGTCAGAAATGTTCGCGCCAATCCCCACGTTGGCCCCCACTTTGGCCTCCACCCAAATCACGTTCCCATCGACGGTATAAATAACCCGTCCTCTATTCCTAGCACCAGTAATGCATTGATTAGTGATCAGTGTCGTAGTGTGTGGGGGCTCAGGAGACATCGAAGACGATATCGAAAGCTCGGCATAGTGATAATCGACGCTGTTCAAGCCGGAAGACTGTTAAGTTTATTATTAATTCCTATAATCTTTAAGAATTTAAATTGTAAAAAAAAATAATTCTGATAATAATAGTTTAATTATAATATGTACCTACCTACATACACATAATTATTGTATGTCCTTGACGAGTCAATCAAAATGGTATATGAATAAAAATAAAAATACGCATTAAAACTATCATTTATCTCAGAAATCAACAACAACATTTAAAGCTGGCAACTATGCGTCGATCTGTATGTTCTTTATTTATAAAACTCTACATGCTTCCAAGAATTTACTCAGTTAAAGCTGACAAGCCGGTTAGAGAGTTGTCAATACCTTTATTACAGTTTGTTTTGTTACGCAAAAGTGTTTTGTTTGTGATTTACGGCTTCAATTTTCTTGATTTAGTGTAAAAAATGGTGGAAGAAGGAAATGAGGAAGAAACTGTGCAACTTAGAACGCTCACTTGGAGAATATTAAATAATCCTGATTTGCATGAATTTTTTAAGAGTGTTTTTAATCGCGTAAGTATTTTAATTAATTCTCGAAGAAAATTTAATAAAGTTAATATCTTTCAATAATTCATTTAATTATGGTCATGGTCTATTAGAATAACCCTGACCCTCATAGTTAGTAACTATTAGTTTGAACATTGGCCAATGTTGTGTTTATTTATTTATTTCTCAAATATCTCGATTTTTAATTTAGTGGGGAACCTAACGTATAAGACATTAGTACATTTTTCCATAATATGGTTTTCATTTTTAAATGATAGCGTTACGGTGAAAAATTATTGAAATGGAAAAACCTATCTGTAGATTGCACAACAAAGACTTATTTAATGTAAGAAAAGTAGTCCATTGAGTTTAAAACATAATTTAATGCAATTTGAGTGGATTAAAATTGCAGTTGTTTTGAACAATGTGTGCCGTATTATTTTCCTTTCTCTGAAATAAAACCAACCAATGTCCTTAATACTATTATTATTTTGTTCTATATCTCAGATGCTTTTCCCGTGGCCAAACATCAGTGGGATACATCTAGACATGTATCACTATAAACCATTCTTGTTACTATTGAAAGTTACAAGAAGTTGCATCATTGGATAATAACATCATTATTGTTATATTGGAGGAAACCCATCACATATAATATAGGTACATTATCTAAGGGTTTATTATGTTATTGTACATTTTTTAATCAATGGTTTAAGTCCTCCTAGACATTTTCTAGCACCTACTCAATTCACCTCCGCCTTTTTATGTTTTTCTTTTTTTTTATTTTCTTATATAATTTATATAATTAATTATGTATACTTTTAAGAGACTAATAGGCTCATGGCTTTATTGCTATTTTTTCTCCATATAATTCTATTTAATATTTTTTTTTTCATTTGGTCAAGTTTATATTATTAATTTCGTTTTTAGAAGTCAGTATTTATTATTACGCATGATGTGGCCAAAGTTAGCCAATTTTCTGTCCTTTACGGATTTATAATTTCTTTGTCATCTCTTAGCCTCTGGAGAATAATTATGTTACTTGTGTGGTGTATATATGAGACCCTCAACATACGTCGGTAGCACCACATTTCAAATGCCTCCAATCATTTTATAGCATCTTCTGTAAGGCTCCATCTTTCCACTTTACAGAGGAGACACTAAAGACGTAACATCTAAGAATTCTTATGTGTATATTGATACTTAAAGATAAGTTGCTTAAAGAGCTTCTGGCTTTTTCAACACGAGTTTTTATTTCGTAGCTGTGATCCCAAGTATCCTTAATATTGCAGCCCAAATAGCATATTTTTTTCACTTTCTTTAACAGTGTATCGCCTATTGTAATTTGAGCGTCGGTGTTCTTGCTAATGATCATTATGTTTGTCTTCTTATAATTTAGTTTTATGCCGTATTTGTTACATGTTTCCACAACGTTATCCATCATCCTTTGAAGCACCTGCGCATTATCTGCCAGGGTAATACAGGATACAACACTATATTGTCTGCATATCTAATATTGTTTATAAGTTCTCCAGTTACAGCAATCCCATCAAATGCCTTCTCGAAATCAATGAAACATCCATACACATTACAGTTGACATCCCTGGCTCTCTGTATTATAACTTGCAAACTAAAAAGTGTTTCCCTCGTTCTGAGTCCTGCTATGAATCCAAATTGAACTTCACTCAGTTGTTCTTCTAATTTGGTGTATATGCGCGAGTAAATGATAGTAAGGAGTACTTTAAGTAGGTACATGGCTCATCAAACTAATTAAAATCTTTTTTGAATTTTAATTTATCTTCTTCACATTTTCTAGCGTTGGCTTTTTTAGAAAGTGGAATGAGTAGCCAGTCTTTTGTTAAGTAACCAGTCTCGTAAATATTGTTGAATAGCTTCGTAGGAGCTGTGATTTGGTGTGCCCCTAGAAGGTTTAAAATTTCACCATGCGCCTCATCAGATCCTGGTGATTTCCCATCTTTAATCCGCTTAATGGCCATAGTTACTTTTTCGTTTGTTATTTCTGGGCCGTGGAGATTGTTTATTTCAGTCGTGCTATATCTTCAAATAATTCTTGCATATATTCTATTTATCTTCGTAGTTTATCTTCAATGGTGGTTCCTCTATATTTAAAAATTCTGGTTTTGGTCTTAATTTCTATTTGTTTCTATCCTCTGTGTTTCTGTTCATTGCTTTCCTTATATTGGTTACTTCGTTTATTACCTAGCTTTTATAAATTTTTTCCCGTACTTTCCATATTCTTTGTTTGTTATTTTAGGAACCGCTAACAATATCCACTGAATGAAATGCTTATCTAAGCTTGAAAAATCTATGTAGGCTAATGAAATATACACTACATAATTAGTTTTTAATTTTTTAAATATTTTTCCTTGATTGATCATTAATGTATTTATCTTGTTTTCTTTTGGCACTGGTTTGTGAAGCATTTATTAAAATACTTGATCTGCATGAATATACTTTGTCTGCAGTATGTTTTTATGAGACAAAGGGGTGTATCCGAACATTTACTGAAAACATACTCTGCATTTATGAGTCCACCAAATGATGTATGTTGTACCCAGGATGGTACAGACTAATTGTGAACATTTATATTTTGTTCCTTATAGGTATGTCTTCCTAAATTTGGGAATTGATTTTTATATTTAAATGCTATGAAACCGGCAATATATATCAATCCACCTGTTTCGGTTTCTTTTATTATATTAGCTATTTGTGACACGTCTGAACTACTGCTATTTTCGTACAGAATTTTATTGACAGTATCAATTACTACAAAGAAAATGAGGAACTGGAAGATGCCACCAACTTTATAGCAAGTCAATTGAATGTGAATGTGAAAATAAAAGATGTGCAGAAAATAAGAACCTCTCAAGGGAAACCACCAGTGGCGATAGTAAAAGTAGATACAATGAAGGATAAAGAGCTTATTATGAAAAATAAGAGCAAATTAAGAGGAACGCGGTATTTCATTGAAAACGATCTAACCCAAGTCGAAGCCAAACTACAGAAAGAGCTAAGAGATATGGCGAGAGAAGAAAAAGGAAAAGGTAATGAAACAAAAGTCGGCTATCAGAAAATATGTATAAACGATGAATGGTGGAAATGGAACCATAGTACCGAAAAACTAGAGAAAATGAAAAAAAACTGAGTCTACACAGGCACAGTGGTCAGGAAAATATGGAAACGAATAAAGCGCGGAATAGGATGATGATAGGACAATGGAATGTTAGAGGAACTTTTGAAGTAGGGGCACTAAAGAACTTATCAGATACGTTAGAGAAATATGAGATAGATATTGCAGCTATACAAGAAACTAAACAAAAAGAAAATTTCACCATGGATGTGGGGAACTACGTGTTTTTCAACAGTGGAGACAATGAACGTGTATTTGGGGTGGGATTTTTTATAAAGAAAACATTTGCCAATCTGATGATAGATTTTGAGGCAGTCACAAGCAGATTATGTAAAATAAGAATAAGAGGAAAATATAGAAAAATAACCTTTATAAATGTGCATGCACCAACAGAAAATACAGATGAAGACGTTAAAGATAGCTTTTATGAACAATTAGAACATATGTTTTACAAAATACCATCATATGACATAAAAATAGTTGTAGGAGATTTGAATGCCAAGATTGGCAGGGAGGATGTATACAAATAAATAACAGGGGGAAAAAGTAAACATAGAGATAGTAATCTGAATGGAAAAAGAGTAATAGACTTTGCTTTCGAACACAATATGCGAATTATGAGCACTTATTTTGATCACAAAGAAATTCATAAAGGTACCTGGATATCACCAGATGGACAAACAGTAAACCAAATAGATCATTTCCTAATAGAAGCCAAACATATGAGAGCCATAAAAGATAGCCGAAGTTACAGAGGTGCTGATGCAAATTCGGACCACTTTTTGGTCAAAATTAAAATGGAGCAAATAATACCCACAATTAATAAAGCTAGTTGTAAAAAAATAAAAATATATAACGGTGCACTACTTCAGGAGGGAGAAGTTAGGAAAAAATTCAGGCAGCAAATTGAAGAGAAACTGAAAAGCCAGACAACAGTAAATGATATAGAAAGCAGATGGGTACAACTAGAAGAAAAAATTCAAGAAGCAGCCGACTCAGTATTATCAAGAAACAGACAATGTAAACAAACGGATTGGTATGATGAGGATTGTTAGAAAGCTATTAGTGACAGAAATAAAGCTAGAATAAATAGCATAATAAGAAATAATGAAGAGAGTAAAAAAGCTTATGCCGAAAAAAGACGGGAAGCAAAGAAGATCTGTAGAAGGAAGAAGCGTTCAAGTTTAGAGCAGAAACTAGTTCGTATTGAAGAAGATTTTTTACATAAACAAGTCAGGAATTTCTACCAAGAAATAAAACGAGACCGAACCCAGTACAAAACCACATCAAGATATTATAAAGATGAAGAGGGGAATCTGTTAGGTGGAACAGATGAAAAATTAAGAAGGTGGGCCAGTTATTTTGAGAACATATTATTATGTACGGACGACCAAGATGAAAGAGAACAAACGCAACTACAACATGAAGAAGTAAGGGACACAGATGTAAATGAAGAAGTACCTACCAAGGAAGAAATTATAGAGATCATAAAAAACTTAAAAAACAACAAAGCACCTGGTGAAAATGGTATCATTGCTGAGTTTTTAAAAGAAGGTGGCGAAATGGTACAAGAAGAAATCGCTGAGTTAATACGCGAAGTGTGGATCAAAGAAAAAATACCCAATCAGTGGAAAGAAGCAGTCTTATGTCCAGTGCATAAAAAAGGAGACGTTACAGAATGTAAAAATTACAGGGGAATAGCTCTACAAGATACAGTGTATAAGATTTTGGCCATATCAATTAGAAATAAAATTAAAACAAAAGTTGAAAATTGTCTAGGTGAATATCAAGCAGGTTTCAGAGCAAACAGATCGGTAACTGACCAAATTTTTACAATGAAACAAATTTTAGCTAGCTCATATGAATTCAACCTAAC